ACCTATCTAATAATATATTTATAGTTTTGTACTAGCTATTCTTGTCCCTATAGTATTCCCTTAACGTTATTTTATTAAGTTAGTTAGTATTAAAGGGATTAAGATATACTAGATACTAGCTAGGTCGCAGTAGCGTAAGGACACTATACTAGGCGTAGTACTAGTTATTAAAACTAGCTTAGGTCTACCTAATAAGTAGTTATAGCAATACACGCGTCTCTCTATCTTTACGTTGCTTAGGGAGACGTCCCTATTAAGTGCTTACGCTTAAGGCAATAAGGTAGTACCTTCTCTACATTATTATTCTATTAATATTATTAAGATAGGTAGCACCTCTAAGTTAATAAACGCTGTAATAAGAGTTATTACAGTTAGTAGTGGTTGCACTTAGCACTATTTAATAAGCTCCTAGAGCCTGTAGTTTATATAATAGATAAGTAGTAGGTTAGTACACACCTATACTTTCTAAGGATCTATAGTCTCTATAGAGGATAGTTAGACCTAAGCTAAACTTAATACTTTACTTAACTAGTTATTTAATAGATTTTAAATTAGTAATCTTAGCTAGAATTAGGACTAGTAGTTAGTAGTTGCTACTATAGTAAGGCTAAGGATTGCAACCTTTAGGCTTCTAAATAATAGTATAACTAGCGCTAGTGTTATACCCCTATAGGAGCTAAGGAGTTATGCCTATCCTTAATAAGGCTAATAAGTAGTGTTAGTAGTAGTAGTATATAGTCTTTTAGTTTATTAAGGGCGTGGTAGTTTATAATTATAAGTATATAGGTAGGTATATTAAAGAATAGTTAATTATACTAGTGCACTAGTTGTACTTATAACTAGCAGGCGGAGTTAGTTAGAGTTAAAGCAGAGTAGCCTCTCTTTAGTAGTAGTCCTAGACTACAGGACTAATTATTTAGGTCTACTAACTATAGGTTATCTACCTATCTTTAGTATTACTTAGTGTAGATTAGACTATTATAGGCGTAGTAGGGCCTAGACTACCTAAACTTAATCTTTATATAGTATTAGGGGACAACCTTATATTCTTAATTACTTGTGGTCTTTCTTTCCTTTAGAGTATTTAGTAATATTTACTTGCTAGTAGTAGAGGTTCTCTTTACCTAGCTATCTCTTAAGACTTTATAATAGAGATATAATTAAAGGGGTTTCTTACTATAGATAAGTATAGGCTAGTAAATTAGGGGCGTTAGACACTATTTATAGTAGCCTTTTTAAGCGTTATAGAGACTCTTTTAACCTCTTTCTAATAGAGGTAGGACTAGCTTAGGCTACTCCTAGATAATCTACTCTACTTAAATCCTTGCTTAGTATTAGTTTCTCCTCCTTGTGCCTTAGTTAGCCTTATAGACTAAGGATATTCTAAGAAAGGTTTCTAGGCTACTATAAGACTATATCGCTACTATTCTATATAAAAGAAAGCTAGTCTAACTAGTGTAGTCTAGGTAAGACAGCCTATTAATAGTATAGTTAGCTTATTACTATCTACTATTAAAGGGCTTTATACTATAAGATATACTATCTAAGATATAAACTTACTATATTATAATAGATGCGTAGTTCTCTATAGAATACTATATAGGAGGGTAATCTATTTCTCCTTATATAGGTTATCTAGTTACTACTAGATTTATCTATATAGGAAGGAGTAATTCTTTAATTATATAATATACTTGTTTAACACGTCCTATTATATTACGCTTACACGTAACGTATCTATTATAAGTTTATTAATACTAAATTAAATAAAAGCTTCTATAAAGATAATCTTAACTTTAATAGCGTACTATTAAAGACAAAGAGCCTCTTCTTCTATAACTAGGCTTTCTATAGTAGGGACTACTACATCTCGCAGTAGTTAACTAATATACACAATAGCCCTATTTTCTATCTTAAGCTAATATATATTAGTTCTATACCTAGCCTAGGAAAATATATTAATGTGTAACGTATAGTTAATAGGGTATCTAAAGGATAGATTACCCTACTTTTAGAATACTATAGCATAGTAAATAGGTTATTACCCCTAAATTTAGTAACTCGCGATATTATCCTCTTAAATAGTGTTATAGTTACTGTGTTAATCCACGTTAATTCCTAGTCTAGCATAACTTATATGCTAATCTAGGTTATATAATAACTGTGTTTTAGTAAACGTAAACTATATATAGCTAATATAGGTTAGTAATAGTATATTCCTAGATATTTATATCTTACTCTATTAATATAACTATTATACTCTAGTATACAGAGGAGTAGGTAAATAAAAGGATATAGTATAAATCTACGTAAGCTAATATAACTTATTAGCGTTAGTTATAACAAGTAATAATACTATAATTATAGTAATATATATAAATCTATATAACAATAATCTAGTGTACTTTAAATTAATTCTTAACCCCTTGCACACGTACATAATGTAACACGTTAGCATACCCTCTCTACACTTCTATTATACTAATATAGTATAACTATAGTATAATAACTTATTGTTTAATAACTATATTATAGAAGTATATTAGTATAAAGATATAGCTAAAGATAATATATTATAAGCAATAGTAATAACACTAGTGCGCGTTATAATATAACAAGTGCACAAGTTATATATAATAATATACCCTTTTTATCTATAATAATATATTTATAATATATTAGCTTTACTTATAACCTTATCTACTATAAACGCTGCCTTTGTTCCTAACACTATCCTATAGTTAATTTAGGATTTAAGATCCTATTTACACAAAATACTAGAACTATATAGTGTCCGCCTGTAGCTAAAATTAGTAAGTAATAATCTAATTATAGTGTAGGTAGCAATATATACGCCTAAAGTGTTTGCCCTATAGATTTATACGTTTATAGTTAGTAAGAAGGGCATTAATAACCTTAATAAGTGTATCTACAAGGCTATAGACATATACTTTAATATAATCTAAGACTAACTATTTAGCTATATTTCTAACTCTAAGTAGACTAATATATAGGACACTATCCTTACTAAGTATCTATTTTTTAGATATTTTAATAGAGTATAGGTATTAAAATAGCTTATATAGTAGACCTAGATATATAGGAATAAGAACTAATACTCTAAACTAAAACACAAGTATATTATCTACCTCTTTAAATATACTAATCTTACTATTATAAAGGAGCTATTATACATAATTATACTATACTAGGTAATAGTATTACTACCCTAATTACTTAAACGTTTGCTATCCTACAAGGCCCTAGCCTAGGGAGGTCTATTATATGTAGAGGTCTATGTAGATACTAGTAGCTAATATCTAACTTTATTTATAGCAGTTTAGGTATATACTATAACTGCGTAGTAGCCTAGTTAGGATTCTATAGTAACGCTCCCTAATATTTAAACTAAGACTTATTATAGGCTATAAGTAAGCTAGTATTACCTTATCCTATTAAATATATATAAAGATAACGTCTACCCTAAACTAAATACACTAGTAGTATTACTAGCTTTAAAGACTAGGGTGCCTAGGATAGTAATAGTAGCGTTTTTAGGGGTTAGTATCCTAACCTAATAGTTAGTGTGCCCCTAGCTAGTAGTGTTAGATTATAACAAGTACTAGTATAGCTAGATATAAGACTATAAAAGTAAACCTATTTATATAGTATACTAGCCTAACTAAATAATTCTACTCTAGATACTTGTAAAAACACGCCTGTAGAAGATAACTATAATACACTACTAGACACGTAACAACACTAACCTTATACTATTATAGACTCTCTAATAGAGACTTTAAATTCTGCTCTACTAACATAGACTTATAAGAATATACGTATTAGGAACGTAAAGGCTAGGCGCAACTATATAACTAAAGCTAAGGCTAAAGGTAATAGTAATAAGAGAAATACTTCTAGAGTGTAAGGCCTAAAATCATAGTAGTCTCTAATATAAACTAGAGTATCTATTGCAGATGCCCCTTATATAGATAGTAGTAGTATAGGAGAGCTAAATAATAGTAATAGTAATAATAGCGTCTAGGTTTATAGATAATTATAACATAAGAGGGTCCTAATTATATAAGTTAAATAATATATATATATAATATTAGTATATATAAATAATATAATATAATATTACTATATATCTTATACTACACAAGCTTACTATATTATACTACACCTTTACTACTATATATAATATAGTATATATAATAATATATATATATACCTAACTTTAAACTAATATACTACTAAAGAAACCTATAATATATATAGTGTAAGCAACTAACTTGCCCTAGAATATTTATAATATAGAGTATAATCTTTAGCAATACTACTACACTATAATATAGGAGTGTTGTTGCAATAGGCGCCTTTATAGAACTTACTAACCTATTATTATAGGATAGTTTAGATTATAATTTTATATACTAGGTATACTACCTAGTCTCTTAGTTATTATTGCAGCGTACCTAGGTGGTGGTATGCTACACGCCTATACTACCTAGGTATCTACTAGTACTACTTCCTATATAGTAACCCTACTAAATTATACCTACTACGTGCCCTCTATCTATACTAAATTTTCCCCCTAGGTGCTATATATCTATCTACTATATAACCTATAATTAGGTATATTATATAAACTGTGTTTAAATAGACGCTAAAGTTAATACATATAATACTAATAATATATAAACTAAAAAGTAGTTTACCTTTGTAGAATATATAGTATAGTAAACCCTATTTAGGTTTACTTCTCGTACTTAAACTACTTCGTGGTCTACTTTAGATAAATATGGCTACTGTAAACCGGTTTTGTACCGTAGTGTGGACTGCATCATAGTATTATGTCGAGTATAGTGGCCCGCAGCCCGTAATCTCAAGTGATCCATGTAAAAACCGTTGACCGTATAACGGAAAGAATCCGAGTTATATGACTTTCGGTCTGCGTTGACTCACGTTCCAATCGCTGTTCGTAATTCATTCCAAGCTCAAACTTCGACGATTTTTACTAGTGGACCTTCAATCTTTTTGACCTTCCGGCCTTCCCACCAGGACAAGATTCCCGCAAACATTGCTACGCCACATCCTAGGCCAATGAACGTACCTTTCATATGATCAGCGTATTTCTTATGGAGAAGTTATATATTTACCAGTGGCCCAAGATGGTCTATCAAGACGGTTATAACCCCACATGAAGTAGCAAAGAACCACCTGGAACAGACTATTGAGAACCATCATATCAATAGTGAATGCTAGCTTCCATAGCGGTGTTGGTGGTGCCTGTTCCCCTGTGAAAGTAGGAGTATCAGGCAAAGCATCCGCATACTCAACTGAAGGACGGAACCATGCCTTGTTCTGCACAGTCAAGCGATGCATCGCAGCGTGATCATGGAAATGTATGACTTGGACCAACCAGTAAAAGTCTCGGAAGCGCCATGGAGCAAGGCCAAAGCCCGTGACGCAGAAGAGGGCGTTCAGGATCTGGCTATCGATTTCTAACCAAATTTTGCGTGGCGAGTTATTATCGTCTGCTGAGGGGTGATTCATGGCAGGTGCTGCTTTGAGAAGTAGGAAGAAGAGCATAGCACCCCATGCCTACGAGGTGGATGGGCTGGTTACTATAACCGAAGACAATGTTTTCGCAAAAACTCTACTTACCACAATATTGAGGCCATATATGGTGATCAAGAAGCCAGTAGGGGTGATGAAAAACCTCCAAAAAGCCTGAAGACCGTTCATGATAGCAGGACCCCATTTCTCCTTGACATCAGACTTGTGCCTCTCATGCAGTGAGTGCAAGTGTGCTCTATGAGGATGCCTAGGCGATGATTTGGATGATTTGGATTCTTGTGGAGACGAAATCATTCCAATTCTGGTTTGTGTCTTGACCAGCACAAGACCACCGGCATCATCTGGACATGCAATGCGTGAATACGCTGTCGGCTCGATCCAGTGTAG